GAAAATAAAAAAATTATAAATAATAATAAAAAAAAAATTTTAATACAACAATTTGAAATTAGATATTTGAAAGTATCTATAAATACTTTTTTTAAATCATGTGTAATTGTACTCAAAAACTTTTAAAATAAGTATCTGTAGGTATCTGTATTTGAATACTTTTAAGAAGTATCTTTTACAAGTCCGCTATAAAATATAGATAAAAAAAAGAAATTGTTATGATGTTTTAACGGTTTCTTGTACCATTTCTCCAGTCTACGTCTGTAGTATTTGATGACAACCAAAGTACATTATTTTGAATAGTCTTAACTCTTAAGTTAAACTTCGACTCTTTTGTAATACTTATATAGACTAAAAAAATTACTAAATTTGATCAAATGTAGAGCTTTTGAACAACATTTTTTCAGTAGTATGTTTAAGACTTGTTTTTTCGTTTTTCTTTTTAATTGCATTTTATTCGCAGAGACACGTAATTGGAATAATAACTTCGGGGCCAGTCTACTATTGGCAAATTCACCTATGTCACCAAAAGTAGTAAACGGAAGCTTTGCCGCATTGTTTGATAACGGAGATGATTGGTCACGGAAACTATTGAGAAGTGAAATGAAAGACAGCTCTTGTAAATACAGTATTACTGAAATCATTGTCATTTTGATGGAAACAATAATCTTATTTTTCATTGTAATTTCCAAGCGATGAGAAGGAGAATTCGAGGGATTTTGATGTCAGGAAAACAGTTTTCTTTGGATTCGCGGATGGATCTCGTCCAGGGAATGATTCCAACCGCATCGAAAAAGGCAATCATGTCGGAATGCACTACAAATCCTTCGGAAGAAACTTCAGGTGATGCCTAAATCAAAGGATACTAGTATTATGTGTACATTACGAGTGTTTATTTGAATCGTTTAATACGCACAAATTTAATTACATTCGGTTGTATAATTCAGATGCATTGAGATTTGGAATTTGTTAAATTTATTTCTATTTTCATTTTATGATTTATAGAAAATAAAATCATTGAGAGTGATGATAAAGAGAAGAACGGAGAACCGAAAAATCCAAAATCTCGTAATTTTCGTCTTCCACAACACGAAACTAATCTAACTCCTTTGTTTGAAGGGAATAACGCAGATCTTATAGATTAATAGTACCACAATATTATGGTAAATTATTTCACTATTTATTTCTAGCTGTTCGTACTTTTTTTGAATAAATATCTATCGAAAACACTTTAACTTTTTAGAATAATAATACTTAAACATATTTAAGAATAATAGCATTGTTTTTTTACAATATTATAAATCTTATTCTATTTATTACAAACTACATATATTACACATCTTTAAACTATATTATTTAATTTAGTGTCTATCGCTTATCGAATTAGAATAGAAACTATAAAGTTACTATTAACTGCTTTCATTTCAATTTTGCCACCTGAGTAAGTAAATGTTTTGTTTAAGGTTTTCAGATAATGTGTAATTTTTTTTATTTTACAATTAAATATATAACCATAAACTTACCTACCTACTATTATGAATTTTTTTTAGTAAAATGCCTATGTTAAATAATAAATGCACTAAACACAGTTAAGTTAAAAGACAACTTTAATTTATTTGCAGAATACTAAGTATAAGACAGTAGACACACACACACACACACACACACACACAAATATATATATATATACATTCAATATATTTACAAAAAATGAATTAGTTATTACTTATTTTATAGAATTAATATACAATTTTCAATATTATTATTACTTTACACGTACTTAAACATATTATATTATATTACCTACATATTTTAATAAATATAACAAAAGAGTTGACAAAAATTGCATATAAATATTTATATGTACTTCTTCTAATTATATTCTAATCAATTAGACCTTTAAATAGTCAGGTACACAAAATCAAACACTGTTGCCAAGCAACATGGGTGGATCTACACTAACACTTTGGATTAAAAATATTTTATACTAAAGTGCACCATGGCTTGCCTATACGCCACCAATATACCAATTTCATTATTACAAAATTAAACAATATGATATTTTCAATGAATATTTTTATTTTTATACCTACACATTTTTCACAATCAATTTATTCCCCAATTACCTACTAAACTTCACAAAATATTTCATTAAAAATGGGTATTAAATTTAGATAAATATTTAAGTATTGTTTCAAGCTCCAAGTATAATACACAATATAAATTATTTTATCAAGCTCCAATTATAATACACAATATACATTATTTTATCAAGTATTTAATATGCACAATACAATATTTCAATATTTTTATTTTTAAAAAAATATGTGAATATAAATCCATACATTTCTTATTTAATAAATAGCTAAGTACCTAGGTAGATAAATTAAAAACAGTATTTATTGATATGTTTTAGTAAATTGTTAAACAAGTATTCAAAGATTGGTCTTAAATATTACTATTTTCTATAATTAATAATGTTTCATGTTTATTATATACATAACTAAAAATATAAATTGCATAAGCTTAATTAATTTACTTGTAATATGGGACATAGGTAGCTATAGTACCTACGAGTTTCTAGATTTCCTACTGTCTAGTCTTAATTATTAATGCATTCTACTATAGGTATATTTACGATTTTGACTATCATCTTATGAACATTTGGAACGGCAGAAATTATAGGATCATCATCGTCTTTTTCAATTTTTTTAGGAACATTAAAACTTCTGTTGTTCTAAAATATACTGAACATTTTATTTAACAAATTTTGTGAGATATCACAATCTAACACAAATATAGTTTGATTAGTTAAAAGTAAAAACACTTACCAATGAACATATGCATTTGAAAATAAATTATAAAATGTACCTAATTCAGTACCTAGCAATTAATCCATAAACTTTTATTATCTATGATTTTATGAATTTGGTATAATTATCGGTACACCGCTACCAAAATTTTAAATACCTATACTATAATTTATTACTATATCATTTAAAGATTTGAACACTATTTTAAAGTTGTATAACCTTATAATTAAATAATGGTTGTACTATTGTCTATTATAATACAACCAAGAATTTTATGATTTTTATAACCCATATCATTGTATTTTCATACTATTTGATTTTTTTTTTTAGAGGATTATAAAATCTTAGGCCTACATAAAACAGATACATATTATTTGTTCTATATATAACTTAATTTGCAATGTGTATTGTATTTTAAAAAATATAATATGTAGGTGCTAGAGTCCATATAGATATGACTTAAGGTCCCCACACACTGCAGCGGTGGCGGTGGCGGTAGCGGTGAAATGAGTCCGGACACAATTTACCGCCACCGCGGCGGCACCGCCAAGACAAAAAATTTTACCGCCACCGTTGCAGTGTGTGGGGACCTTTAATTTGGAATTTTTCAAACTACACTATTAATCAGTAATAAATTAAATAAATATATATTTTTTTTTTCATTTACGGTCTAAGCTAACGTGATATTACTTTATTAGAATTACATTTCATTTAATTGTATTAGTCCTATGTTGGAAGTTGGAACACAAGCTTCAGGAAACATTTATTATCGTAATCGCCCATCACACTATTGAAAAGAAAATAAGTATTATCAAAAATATAATTTGATAGGTACTTAATTTCAGTTTAGTTATTCTTATTTTTTTAACATACCAATAATATTAAACATTGTAATACAAAATAAAATCTAAAATAGGTTTATATTATAATCAAACTGAAAATCGTAGTTGTGTAAAATTTTAAAATACCTACTCATAAAGCCAGATAGATAAATACTATACATCTATAATACTATAATCTTCCTACACAACCATATGTGGGCATAACATTCAAATCAATAATCCAGATAAAAAATATAGGTGGGTAGGCTAAATATTGGGTGGCTAAATGCTTATCTTGACGTCAAGAATGTAAGTCTCCAAAAAAATTATAAAATTCATTCCTATATAATACGTATTATATTATACCTAATATTCCCGCTATACACATATGCCTGATTTGTTCGCTAATTGGTCGCAGTCGTCTCGATTTATTGTACCTACTTCACAATATAAATACTTAATTATATTTAATGTAACTGTCAATAGCTAATAAATAATAATATTATAATACATACATTATTATTGTTATAAAAAAATGTGTGAATATTTAGTATTACCTATTTTGTATTTTTGTATTGAGGAAATGCTTTGGAATGTTAAGAACTTAATATAAATGTTAGCGGCAATGATGTCAGATATTATCATTTTTCAACAATTACTAGTCAAAATCATTATAGAGAATAAACATTTTAGGAAATAATGATAGCTCTAATAATTGACTTAATTTATTTAAATTATTGTGTTTTGAGTGTTGTTTAATGTGATAACTATATATTATTGATTAGAGGTTATTGTCGGTAACTATTTTCTGTTCATGTATTACAAAGACAAAACGATAACGAAAATTATCGCCAAGCCCGTAATTTTTAGGCATATAAAGACAATTAAAGATTGGTTATCAATTAGTTGGTTTGAAAAAATTGCACCAAACATAATCGAAATGTACTTGAGTGCATTTTGACCATTAACAGTAAAGATCGACTTATTAAATATGTTAGTGACAAGAAAAACTCAACATAACATTTCATAATATTTATGTTTATAAATTAATTTGTATGATAGTAGGTACTATTATTTTTGCTGGGTAGATAATAAATATAAATTATATATTTTTTTAAATAACAAAATATAGGTATCTACAGTCAAATTCGCTTATAACGATGCCGTATATAACGATATTCCGGGTAAAACGATCAAAAGCAATGTATTTGGTTGGTTTTATATGTTATGTGTACTACTTTTATTCGTATATAACGATATCGGTTATAACGATAATCCGGATATAGCGATGTTATTTTAAAACGAAAATTTGTTTTTATAATCACCTATAGCGATTATTAATACAGTATTGTACCTAGTAGTAAATTTGATTTCGACCAAATCGATATGACTTAATCTTATCTGTAACAGATAATGTGTCTTGTGCGACCGTACTGTATACAGCATACGTTTCTTACTCGTTTAGTCGCCGTTTTGATTGCTATCCGTTTAGACACGTTCTGAATTCCGTAGTTAAAAATGTCAAATAAAAGAAGACGCTGTTTCACTATTGCTGAAAAAGTGAAAATAATTGAACGTTTAGAATGTGGTGTTTCTAATAAAGATCTTTGCCAAGAGCTAGGAATTAGTCAATCAACACTATCTACCATATGGAAATCAAAAGACCAAATAAAAAGCGTTTTTCAAAAAGACGTGACATCTAACAAAAGGTTAAAATGTAGCCAACATCAAGACGTCGAACTGGCTCTCTTGGAATGGTTCAAAATACAACGATCTAAAAATATTCCAATAAGTGGTCCGATACTTCAAGAAAAAGCGACCGAATTCGGGAAGCGTTTTAATAAAATCGATTTTCAATGTTCTTCTTCTTGGATTACCCGTTTTCGTCAAAGACACAATATCGTTTTTGGAAAAATAAGTGGAGAATCGTCAAGCGTTCCTGTTGGTGTTTCGGAAAATTGGCTGGAACACGTTTGGCCTAATTTGCGTAAAAATTATGCAGATTGTGACATTTATAACGCTGATGAAACTGGATTGTTTTATCGTCTAACACCATCTCAAACATTACGTTTTAAAGGGGAAACATGCAGTGGTGGTAAATTATCTAAAGAGCGACTCACAATTCTTGTAGCCTCTAATATGACTGGTTCTTACAAACAAAAATTGTTAGTAATTGGAAAATCTAAGACTCCGAGATGTTTTAAAAATGTCAAAAACTTGCCAGTCGACTACAAAAGCAATAAAAAAGCATGGATGACCGGTGACATATTTTCCGACTGGTTAAAAGATGGTTAAATTTATATAAATACCTTGAATGTTAAAATACATATGTAATCTTAAATAACAGTAAAAAATGTGTTTAATAAATCAATTTTTCAAAAAAACTATTTTTTTTTTTTATGATCCGGATGTAACGATGTTCGGTTATAACGATCAGATTCCCTAGGTCCCTAGAAGATCGTTATAAGCGAATTTGACTGTATTTTGCTTGAAATTGGAAAACAAACATTCACCATAATATTGGTTTCATATTGTAATAACTTATAGGTAGTTACCAACCTACCTATTATTATTTATATTTGATAGAAAGTTTACACTCTAATTTATAGACTCACGTTAATATCCATACATATTGCCTGAGACAATAAGACATTATTTAAAATAGATAGGAAATATGGTTATTAAAATAATCATTGCCGTTTGGAATTGACTAGTAATTCACTAAAATGACTAAATATCAACATTGCCGCTAACATATAATAGATTTATAACTTATACATATATTTAATTATTTAACTTAAGCTTAAAATTAATTCTTTTCTTTACAAATTATTGTACCGTCCCACCTACTTTTTAAATTATTGTACCTACTCTATATAACTGTATAAGCTAATCTTTGCAATTTGTTTTAAAATGTTTAATTCACATATATAACTATTACTTATGCGCCTTAGAATGTTAGTGATATTAATTAATATAATTAAATAATTAACTGTTCTAATCATAATATTATATTTTCAGTACCTACCTACTGTATTACATACCTGCTTATCTATAATTTAATTAAATATATTGCATTTACATATTATTTCATTTTCCTCATTAGTCATAGATTTCCTAGGAAGGCACATTATTAATACTTACCTAAAAATTTAATATTGTTTACATAATTACATTATATTCAAGTTTTATTTTTGCAGAAGACAATTTAAAAACTATACTCCGAGCGAAATAAGAATATACTCGGAGGCGGACCAAAACAGGTTTGCTGTTCGCATGTCCGGCTTATAACTATAACTATATTATTATTTATTATGCTTATAACTATGAGAAAGTGGAGGTTAGGAATCGGTCACCCCGCCTCGCGCCTGCGAGAGAGGTACGTGTTTATATCACCCGGAGTTTAGCCACAAGTAAGCAGAGAGGTTTAGAATTTGCTAAATTAAACAATTTCAGAACACTTTATTAACTTTAACCAAACATTTAAAAGATAATACAAATTAATATTGTTTTTATACATTATACAGGAGATAATAGCTAATATTCATAATTATTAAAAATATTCCGTTTTTTTTTTTCTTTATTTGGAATAAACAATTTGTACCTATGAGACACAATGAGTACATGTGATGAGAGATACAACATATACAATTAACATTAGTACAAAATGCTAACCTAAACATATATTTACATGAATACACGGGTTGTGAGAAGCCATCCATTAATGACACTCACCATGGGTATTTTATATTATTATTATTATTTTAAAAAAAAAATTTTTATTGTTTAAATTTTTTTGAGGGGGGGGGGTGAGAAGGTCACGACACCAATTGCGTTTTAGACGCCTAGGAGGATCGCCAGGAATGGTCGGGACCGCGAGATCGCGGATTAGTGGATTACTGTTGGTGGACAGACGGTTATGAAAACTCTTATAATGTGCTTTGGCTTCTTCCTGGACAGTTTTCATTTTTAAGTCAGAGTGGATAGTTCTGTTCGAGGTGGATCATTGAGTTTCCTGAGGGCTAAGGTTTGGAAGGTTTGAATTTTGTTAAGGTTAGATTTTTTAGCATTACCCCATAGCTGGCTTAATTAGGGATTTATAGATGAGTAGTTTTGTATTTAGGTTAGTGTGCGTGTTATTATTGATGAATGTTTTAAGCAAACGATAACGGGCATTAAGATTTAGACGCTTAGATTTTATATGATGATCCCAAGTTAACCTACGATCTAGGATTAGACCGAGGTATTTAACCGTTTAAGAATTGGGAATTTGGGAGCCAAAGATGGAGACAGCAGGACAAGGTAAGGGTCTAAGAGTGAACGTAGTATGCACAGATTTTGTTTGATTTATTTTTAACCTCCATTTAGTGTACCAGTCTTCCATGAGAGATAGATGATTTTGTAGGTAGCTAGAAGCTGTGATGGGATCAGGACTTATGGAAATAATTACCTTATCATCAGTTTAGTCAGCGACTTGAGTGTGGGGTGTGATAGGATGGTTTGAGGTACATATATTGTAGAGCAAAGGGGAAAGAATGCCCCCTTGGGGGACACCCGCTGAGATTTTGGCTATGGATGAAAGGGTGTCACCGATACGAGTGCTGAAGTATCTGTCAGAGAGATAAGACTTGATGATTAGAAAGAAGACCAGATGTAAAAATTTCTTCAGTTTGCTTAAGAGCCCGTCATGCCAAACCCTGAGATATATCTAGAAAGGCACATGTACAGTATAATTTTTTTTCTAGTGCAAATGAGATTAAGTCTACCAGTCTGTGGGCTTGATGAATTGTTGAGTGAGCATTGCGGAAACCAAACTGGGAGTCAGAAAGAATGGAATTTGACGTAACGCTTGGTGGAATACACTTTAATAAAAGTCTTTCTAGGATTTTAACAAAGAAAGGCAGTAAACTTATTGGACGAAAAGAGGAGGTGGAGTCAGGAAGTTTATTGGGCTTGGGGACCAGAATAATGATTGCAAATTTCCAAATCAATGGAAAGTAGGATAGTCTAAAGACAGCTTTAAAAATATGTGTGAGGTGAACAATTGCTTTTTTGGGAAGGCATCTGGCAACATCAGCTGTGGTAAGATCGAACCCAGGAGATTTGTTAGGGGGGTATTTGTCAATAGTATATTTCACTTCATTTGGGGTGAAATGTTTGACAGGGGAGCACACTAAGAGTAGGGCTTTAAGAAATTCTTCGACAGTGTTTATATTTTGAGGAGAGTAAATATCGAAGTGAGGGACAAAAATATCAAAAAGATGTTGTTTAAAAGCTTCGGCTTTATCAAAATCAGTGATTGCCATGCTACCATCAGGTTTTTTGATTGGAGTATTTGGGGCTATAGTTTTGCAAACACGCTTTGTTGCTTTCCATAGGCTACCGTCTATAGGGGAAAGGTTTTTCAAGTAACTGGCAAAAGAGTTAGATTTGTGTTTAGCTAGTAATTTTTTGAGACTATTAGACAGTTTGTTATAAATTTTGCTTATGTGAGGGAAGCTGAGAGTGCTGATAAAGCGCTCTAGCCCTGCGTTTTTTTACTATAATCTCACGGATGAAGTCCTGGGTGGAAAACGAATTTGAAGGGGGGGGGGGGTTTGATGAAGACCAAGCCGACGATTGGATAATGTTTGTAAAATCGTCTTTAGATTTAAGTTTGACATTAAGTTTAATACGATGATCTACAAGGTTGTGAAATTGGAGTTTGTTTGTAGTGCAATTAAATAACTTTGGAGAAATAGGACGTAGAGGTGGAGAGACATTTAAAGTTAAAATTACTGAGGAATGGTCGGAATTTAGGTCTAGGATGTTAATAGTGTTAGTAAGAATATTATTTGGAATTTTTGCCACAAAAATATCAGGATTTTTACGAACTGAGGTCAGCCAATATGTTGGGCCGGGGGGCAAGAACTTTGAAATGTGTTGTGATACGAAGTTGTGAAGGACTGAACCACGGGGGTTGTTAGGAGTGGTGCTTTGCATTAAAGTCACCTCCAATTAAAAAGTTGTTACCAACTGTGTTAAAGTAATTAACGAAATTATTGATTTACTATAGTAATGATTAATTGTGAACTTGTGTTTTGGAGGAGAGTAAATTGCAGCAATGGTAATTAGAATATTATTTAGTTCTATAGTAATTGCACATGATTAAAGATGATCAAGACAGAAATTTGGAAGGTGTTCAAAAAGGACTAGGGATTTAATTAGTATGGCAATGCCACCGTGGGCTGTTCTGTCAGGATGGTTAGTTTTTAATAGCTTGTATCCGGGGATATGAATGGTAGAATATTTAGTGAAATGCGTCTTGGTGATTAGGGCAATGTCAATGCGTTTATTATATAGAACATTTTGCAGTTCGATGGCGTGATTTTTTAAACAGTTAGCGTTAAATAGTAGTATTATAAGAGATTTATTTGTAATTGAGTTGTGAGGCATTATACTTTGATAAGTAACTTTTCTATTACTTTGGTAAGTAGTGACAAGAGAGGATTAATCAGAGATTTAAAATCCTCAAGGAATCTAGTGATAGTAGTATTTAAATCAGTAGTTGATTCGGAAGTCACGTTATTGGTGGCTCTGCCAGAGATGGCCTTAGCATAAGTGGGGGTGTGAGCATTAGAGTGATAAGGGTGAGTGTCATTGGAGGGATGAGTATCTTTAACATTTGATGAGTTGGGTCTAGAGTATGTTGGTGCAAAGTTACCTTTAGTAAATGGTATTTTGGCACGCTGGAGGTCTTTGTAGATGGTACATCCTTTGTAGCTTGCCGGGTGATCACCAGAGCAGAGTGCGCATTTTGGAGGATCCGAACGTGGCTTTGGAAGATCAGGTGACTTATGATCGGCACCGCAACGAACACATCTCGGAGGGTAGGCGCAGTACGTTTTGGTGTGCCCATACTCTTGACAATTATTGCATTGACTTATTATTTTGGACTTGTAAGGTTCTTCAACTCTAACTTTTGTGTGTAGGAGTGATGTAAGTTGAAAAATATCATTAGACTGGATTTGTGGCTCCAATTCAACGAAAAAAAGAGGAAGTTGAGCTTTGGTCACTTTGTGAAGCACGTTTGTAACACGTCTGACATAAAACATACGAATTTCTAGTTCATCTTTAATTGTGTCTGGGTTCGTGGTTGGGTGCAGGTTTCATATGACGACACGGAGAGGTTTGTCCTCTTTAAGTTGGTATGTGTGGAATTCTGCTTCTTCGTTTTTTAAGAAATGGATAAGGGATCGGTATGATTCCGGGTTAGCTGTTTGGATTTTTAGACGGTCGGCGGATGCTTTACAAAAGAAGTTATCCACACCGATTAGTTCAACGAGTGCTTTTGATAGATCTAAGAAGTTGCTTAAACCTCTTACAACGATCGGAGGGGGAGGTTTGAAAACATCATTGTGGTTGTCGTTATCCAAATTTGGAGGCAATGTTGTGTCAGGACCAGTCTCAACCTCTTGAGAAAGGATTTGGAAACGATTTGTTGATTTGAACAATTTTGTTTTTTTGTGAGTATGTGTCTGAGAAGATTTGGAAGTAGCACTCTCAGATGATGCTTAAGAGGAGACAGAGAGGATTCTTTTACTTCTAACCATGGTAAAGGGATCGCTTGAATTTACGTCCATATCAGAGCTGCTTTGAGTATTATCATTACCTGATTGTTTATGTTTATTTGCCTTGGGTTTGGACTGTTGATTAGCGTTGGTGTTTTATTTGGTTTTTGTTGTCGACATAATAATTAATGAGCGAGCGGCAGTGGGCAGTTTATTTATGTATGT